CCTGATAATATAGACCTTAAATGGGAGCTAAACACCCTCCAAACACCACTTATCACTCTTACAGTTCACTACCTATTATTATTATTAGAGACACAAACCTTTTGCCTCTCACCTTCCATATACAGACCACCACCTTAACCCTCCCGCAACCAAAACTTCCCACTTCATATCATGATCTCTTTCACTATTACTACTATAAGGCTCAAAACTATCTACACCATCCGCCCTCTAAACACATACTGTCAATCTCATTATCTTTCCTTCTTATCCTCCCAGTACAGGTCAAAAACGTCACTCTCCAGATGGACAATGCATTCACGTTTACCCAGGCCTTTGAACATGCGTACAGTGTAGACCACACAGTACCCCATCTAGACAGTACCTGTCATTCATCATAGCTACTCTATACTTAGAAATAACTCTCTCCATGGAATAGCTATTTTGGTAAGTTTCCAAGTCTAGTCAAGTCCGTATTTACGAGGAAGAGAGAGAGAAGGTAATATATCTGCAGAATACTGTGATTTTCATTTGAGGTCAGTCATCACACATTTTTCTAAGTTAACGAACAGAACATTTGTGGTGAAGCATCTAGGGCTGCCCCCTTTTGTCCTTCTGCACATACCCCTTCACCAGATTATTCCACCCACCAAAACAAGTAGCTGTAGATGTTTGATGTAACAGTTGGTTTTGCTGTGAGAAGGTAGTCTTTAAAGGGCTGTACGCAGAAAGGTAATTAAAGGGGGTGACAGATGGATAGTATCCTGGGAGTAAAAATTACACAGAAAGTTTGAAGGACATGATAAGAATTGTGTGGATAATTTCACATCAACTGGTTGCCTACTTCTAGAGAAAACACAGAGTTTATGTCCCATTTTATGCCTACTGCAACTATAAAGTCCTAGCAGGCACCTCCATAATATACAAATGGGGCCATCACAAACCTTAAATACTCACCTTGACTATCACAATTATAAATTCCAATAGTCAATGGGATTATTCACATGGGTAAAGTTACTTATCTGTGTGCTTGTTTGCAGGGTCAAGGCTAAAGACAGCAATTATTATAATAGTTTACTTACAAGTAGACAGAGCCTATGCATTAGTTTTCAAGGAGATTTATCCAGATGGAAAGTTTGAATGAGTGATAAATCTATTTTTTTTAAACCTACAGGAACTCAAAGAAACATTATGTAATAGCCAAGATCCTGACAACCCTTGTGCCAAGTGAGGTGCCCTGCAGGATCAGACTCTAAATCAAAAACCGTCTGACCCCTTTTTTCCCCCCGGACTTTTCAGAAAAACCCTCCTTTGCCTTTAGGCAAAAACGTGCAGTTTTCAGGCCCAGACAGTTTTTTTCTGTCCAAGATACGGAAGGAGCTAAAAATAGGGCTTACAGTGGAAACTGGTTGCTCCATAAGACTCTCTTCTACAAAGAGAAATGGGAAGATATATCTAACAGTTACCAAGGAAACAGCAAAGTTAAGTCCTGTGTACACTATTAAGTAGTTTAATAACCAGATAATAAGAGTAAAAAGCAACTCCACATAAAACTGATTTATTGCAAAGCACAGCATTAACTCAGTCCAGTATCTGAACTTTAAAGTCCTTATATCAAATGAAGCTGGATTTGAGCTTTGAAACCTGTCATTCAATTGCAGAAAGAACTTTGGTTTGCCTGAAGAGAAAAAGAGTAATATGCTGGAGAGCTTTGTCCGGGTAATGGCAATATGGATGTTGTTAGTCAACTACAGGTCGCAGTTAGGGAAGAAGGAGATATTTGAAGGTAAACTGACTCTTAAAATGTAGAAGAATCATTCCTAGTTTATTGATTTAATGATACTGTCTTCTGTGCAGCATCCTTAACAGAGGCAGCTCTACCTAAAGCAGACTAGGCAGTTGCCTAGGGCAACAGATTTCTGGGAGTGTAAAGTTGCCCAGGTTCTCTCCAACGGTGGTGGCAGGAGATGACCTGGGGGGGGGGGAGGGGGGATTACTAGCCAGGGCTCTGAGGAGCAGAAAGTGGCCCCCAGCCAGGCAAGCGCTCCCGCCTCATCCCCAGCTGCTCCCCATCCCCATTGTGGGTAAGATCACGGCCACAGCCCAGACACAGCTCAGGATTGGTGCTGGTGAATGCTGTCAAGGCATTGGCCACAACTGTGGCAACCCGCCTGGCTCCATGTCTGCACCCAGCTTGCACCTGCTGCTCCGTGTCTGGTCCCCACAGGCCCTGCTGCCCAGGCAGCCCCTGGCTCCTGCCCCAGTTGGGGCCACCGCTTCATCACCACCACGTCCAGGTTCTGAAGGTGCTGCCATCCCGCAATTTATGAGCCCAACAATGAGGAGCTCACTGGAAAGGTGCAGGCGGGAGCACACTAGGGAGTATGCAGATTGCTGGGGCCAGGTGGAGTGGAATGGGATAGGGTGTGGGGCCAGGCAGGGGACTGGCAGTGCAGGGGCCAAGGTGCAGGGCCAGGTGGCAGAGAACCCCACTCTGTCCAGTGGGAAGGAGCCCACTGTGCAAGTGGGATCAGCACCTCCAGCCCAGACGGCTTCATTTTGTGGGGGTTATGCTGCCCCTTAACTAGAGCCTTATCGGCTGGGAGCTGCCCCCTGCTGGTGCCCAGGTCCCACTGTGGTTGGGCTGAGCAGCTCGCTGTTCAGAGGTGCAGAGCTGGGGTTTGCTCCTCTCTTGAGCCCTAGGCAGCTGGTGCCAACCCACTCACAAAAGGCCATTAGGAAGGCAGCCCCATCTGGGAGCATCACCCACCCAGGGAGCGGGTCTCAGTTGCTTGCAAGGCCTAGGGGACTTTTGCCATGGCCTGGCCCAGCTCAGTCCACTCAGGTGTCAGAATGTTCCCATCCAACAGGAGCCGACAACAGGCCTAGTGGCCTCTGAAGCCCCAAGCTGGGGTCTGCCCTGTGAGCCTCTGACCCAGAGTTGGGGTTGCAGCCGCTGGGAGCTCTGCCGCAAATTTCTAAGCAGGTTCGGGGTGCACACTGAAGTTTTACCTAGGTTGGCAGACTGTCTTGAGCCATGTCTGATCCTTAACCAGTGCCTGCTCTTTCCATTTGATTTGAACTCAAGTGTGACATTTACTGCAAGAAAGGGTTTGTTAACCCCAGATCCTGATCAAAAAAGCTAAATGATTAAATATATCTTGAAACAAAAATCAGATGCCATATTACATACTCCTTAGTATCTTATCTATACCAAATAAAATTTCCTCTAAAATTTTCCACAATTGTTACCATTGATGCAGTTTCCCCTGTGGTAGTAACAGTGGGAATGGTGGTATAGACCAGGTTCAGGAGACCGTTGGTGTTTTAACCATCATGCCAGGTAAACTTGTTCTGAGGAAAGTTAGACAGCCATGTAGCTCGAATAGTAGCGGTTGCTCTATACTAGCACTCCCTTCAGTAGAGCTTTGATCATGGTAGCAACAGTGGTAAATTTTAGGGCAAAGGGCTTGAGTAGACACAGATTATAACATCACACGCCTGCGGGATTTTACAACGTCAGTCCACCCAGTGCTTTCTATAAAAATCATTTAATAACATTTTATAGAACAATTATTTTGACAAGTATTGTAAGTGTATGCCACAGAAATAACATATATGCTTCATTTCTACAACAAGCACTCTCCTCCTCAAATGGCATTCCACTTCAGTGAATGCTTCAGAAATGGCAAAGGCCAGCGCTAACCACGAAACCATGAGAATTCAAAACATTCATAGCTACTCTGATTCAAAGCTAAATCCTTTAGGAAGATTATCTGCACCAAAAATCAGGAAAATCCCTCAACTACAGCACCTTTATACTCCATCTTTGAGAAAGAATTTGGTTTCCCATAACTCTTTTCTCAATAATACTACACATTATTTTTAACCATGGGGAAAACATTTTCAAGTGGGGGGGGCAATTCAGATTGTGCATGTGTCTCTGTAGCCTTGGACCTAAGGACTATCTAGAGGCAGTTCCTTCCACACCAGCATTCAGTTGATAGTGAGAGAAAAACTCTTTGGAAGGAAAAATATTTAAATCAGACACCAGCTCAAGCAACCAGGTTGTGTCCACCTTACAAGAAAGAGCTTTAAAAAAAAGAGAGAGACCACATTCACTTACTCCCTGGGATTTATGTGTGATGGTACAAGACAGCACTTCCAGTCTGATTATGATTTCACAGCTTCTCTTAAAAAATCACCCCTATTGTGTCTGAGATTTTGTAGAGCATGAGAGGTTTCAGAGTAGCAGCCGTGTTAGTCTGTATCCGCAAAAAGAAAAGGAGTACTTGTGGCACCTTAGAGACTAACCAATTTATTTGAGCATAAGCTTTCGTGAGCTACAGAGAGTGGTTCGCAATAAGCAGAGCACCATACTTCATAGCACAAAAGTCAAGAAGTCTTAAATACATTGCATTTGGTTTGGGGGGGTTTGCCAACCATGGGGTATTTTTTGAAAATGCTGCTCTGCTATCTGTCCAGCCTATCCGAAGTTCCACGTCAACCCCCACCAGGGTTAACTGTTGCCTCCAGCTACTTCCCCGGCTAGAGCACCCTCACAGCTGTTTGCAACCCGAAAGGAAACTAAAGGCAGGGTGCCGGCTTCACATTTTCAAACAGTTTGAACCACTGATCGCCCATTAACAACAACGTCTCATCACAGCCCAAGACTCAGAACCCCACCAGCTTTATCTTCGCAGCAGCCTCGGGACACATTTTTTCCCCCCACACTATCCCACAGCAGGGTGCCAGGGGGAAAACGCCATAAGCCATCACCAGCCAAACCCCAGGACCTCAGCCCCAGTGTCAGGTAAGTGGAACGCTGCTGCAGCAGCTCTGGCGGCGGGCTTTGCTAAAGCCCCCTGGCATGGTCTCCCCCCACCCCCGGGTATGTCCCCCGCCCCCGGGGGTCAGCAGCCAGGGGCCAGCACTGCAGCGGGGCGCGCACAAGGGGGGGCGCAGGGGGGCTGGCTGCTAATGGAAAGGAAGCAGCAACCTACCCTGAGAGCTTTGCAATCTTCACAAAGCTGAACACATCCATCCATGCAGGCAGCGAGCCGTGCCCTCCGCTCGCTCACTCCAGCGGCAGCAGCCCCATGGTGGGGAGGAGGTGGTGCCCGAGTCTCTCGCAGCAGCAGCCCTTGCGGAGGAAGGAGCTGGCGGCAGAAGCTGCTACCCCCCTCCGGCCGGGAGCTGGGCGTGCAGCATCTCGGAGCAGCAGCATTGAGCTGTGGGCAGCCCCCCTCCGCGCCCCCGCCCGGGGAAACTCCGGGGCTGAGCGGCGGGGGAGGAGACGCTTCAGCTCAGGCCCCCGCCGCTCTGCGCGCCCGGGAGGCGGCAGCGCTCAGGAGCCCGCTGGTGCTTGCGATGCCCCCAGAGCAAGGAGGGGAGGGGGAGCCTCTCTGCCGGTGTCTCCCCCGCCTGTGGGTGGGCGCAGCCGGAGAGGGCGGCGGCAGGAGAAGCGAGCGCCGCACGCTGGCTCCCTCCGCAGCCGGCGGCTGCCTGCTCCCCACCCCGCCGCCAGCTGCCTGGAGCTGGCCCGCGCAACAGAGCCTCCGGCAACGCAGCCCGGGGGAGACAGCGGGGGCCCGCGTGGAGGCAGTGGGGAGGGAGGAGAGAACACACACCCCCCCGCCTGGGGAGCACTTACTTGCATGGAGGGAGGGGGAGATGAGGGAGAACACACAGCCATGGGGGAAAGGGGAAGAGGCTTGTGCCCTACACTAACCTACACTGCAGGGGGCGTGAAACACCCCCACCCCAGCGCAGCAAGTTTCAGCGCTGTAAAACAGCAGCGTAGGCAGTGCACCAGCTACGCCCCTCGTGGAGGTGGGTTTTTTTACAGAGCACTCGCCCAGCCTTACGTTAATGTGCTTTAGCGTTGCCAGTGTAGACTAGGCCCAAGAGAGAAGCACCCTCTTGAAGGGGCCCATTTCATGAGTTGGGGCAGGGGGAAGATGAGAAGCCCAGCTCAGAATCCACCTGGCAGGCAAGAGAGAGGAGGGGGATCCTACCCCCCTTCCCCATATACAAAACACTTGCCTCCCCAAAGGACTCCTGCTCACCAGTCACCCCTCTGCCACAGTACTGACCTTTCTCCCTTTGTGGTAGGGGAGGGACCTGGTGGCCTTCTTGGCCATCATATGAAGCACCAGACCACATGCTGAACTTGGACTGTTGACCCAATCTGGTATAGGAAATTGTAAGTATGGAGAGAGTTAAATAGTGGTGTCCCGCAGGGGTCTGTACTGGGACCAGTGCTATTCAACATATTCATAAATGATCTGGAAAAAGGGGTAAACAGTATCGTAGCAAAATTTGCAGATGATACAAAACTACTCAAGATAATTAAGTCCCAAGCAGACTGCGAAGAGTTACAAAAGGATCTCACAAAACTGGGGGATTGGGTAACAAAATGGCAGATAAAATTCAATGTTGATAAATGCAAAGTAATGCACATTGGAAAACATAATCCCAACTATACATACAAAATGATGGGGTCTAAATTAGCTGTTACCACTCAAGAAAGAGATCTTAGAGTCATTGTGGATAGTTGTCTGACAACATCTGCTCAGTGTGCAATGGCAGTCAATAATGCTAACAGTGTTGGGAATCATTAAGAAAGGGATAGATAATAAGACAAAATATCATATTGCCTCTATATAAACCCATGATACGCCCACATCTAGAATACTGCGTGCAGATGTGGTTACCCCATCTCAAAAAAGATGAATTGGAATTGGAAAAGTTACAGAAAAGGGCAATAAAAATGATTAGGGGTATTTAACAGCTTCCATATGAGGAGAGATTAATAAGACTGGGACTTTTCAGCTTGGAAAAGAGACAACTAAGGAGGGATATGATTGAGGTCTATAAAATCATAGAGAGATGTGGAGAAAGTAAATAAGGAAGTGTTATTTACTCCGCATAACACAAAAACTAGAGGTCACCAAATGAAATTAATAGGCAGCAGGTTTAAAACAAACAAACATTTCTTTACACAACGCTTCAACCTATGGAATTCTACCTATGGAATGCTTTGCGAGAGGATGTTGTGAAGGTCAAGACTATAACAGGGTTAAAAAAAGAACTAGATACATTCATGAAGGATAGGTCCATCAATGGCTATTAGCCTCTGTTTGCCAGAGGGTGGGAGTGAGCAGCAGGGGATGGATCACTTGGTGATTGCCTGTTTTGTTCATTCCCTGTGGGGCCCCTGGCATTGGCTGCTGTCAGAAGACAGAATACTGGGCTAGATGGACCTTAGGTCTGACCCGGTATGGCTGTTCTTATATTCTTTAGTATGCTCAAGACCATGGCCCTCCCATTCTGATGCTAGGGGGAATAAGGGGTGCACATGGGCAGTAATCAGTTGCTCACACACTACTGTGATATGCTTTTTGCATCAGCCACACAAATGACAATTTAAGAAAAGGGGTCATGCTGGTTAAGATAAAACATTGCAAAGCAGTTTCATGGGGATTTAGTTTAAATTAAATTAAATTTCCTGTTAAAGCATTTGGGAAATGGGACAACTGATTCTTGTGTTATAGCATATCAGAAGCCCACACAGAAGAGACACAGCCTTGATCCTTGGTCCGGCAAGTGGCTTCCAATGGGTGTAAGGGTCCAACCTCTCAGAGTCATTTGCAGGATCAAGGCCTTGACTTCTAGTGAGGGAGCAGAACGGGGAACTTGGAAAATTCACCCACAAATGTACATAAAGCCATGCTTCCTAGCTCCATATTTCGATAATTTCCCACCATGGGAATTTGTTTTCTCCTCCTCTATTTTTCTCTGCTTCACAATTTCAATTGTTAAATAGACTGATATGCTCTTTACCCCACAGAGTCCAAGTCTTTTTGGGCAGCTTTCCCTCAACCCCCACACTGACCAGGAATTTCACAAGTGACAAAAAGCACAATAGGTAGACTCTAAAAGCCAGAAAAAAACAAGGCACCATTTTTTATATTAACTTTTACTGGTACTAGTACAAAAAGGAACAGGCAGTACGAACACGCAATGTGACTCAGGTTTCAAACTATTCTTTACTTTTAAAACAGAAACAAAGAATGATTGATTGTCTGTTTACATTGTGAGAACACTGAACAACTGGCACAAAATCTTGCTTATCTACCATATGTGTGCATGATATCTCCACATTTTAAAATGTGTAATGAAGTATTTTATGCTAAGCATATCAAAACATTTATTGGTTTCCAGGATGCTACTTACATCCATTTAGAATTATACCATACTTTAGTAATTGAAGAATCTGTGCCTGCCAGTCACACTGCTCTATTGATCAGCAAATGTTACAAAGATAATGCAATTTCAGCTGGTTAGAAAACAGTTTTTAAAGGTATTTATATAACCTCAAAGCATGCTAGGCAAAAGGTAAGGAGCAAGGTATTACAAACAAAGGCCCAGATCTTGCAAGGCTTAAGTATGTGCTTAACTTTACACACTTGCAAGTCCCAAATAGTCCTAATGAAGCTGATGGAACTACTCACAGTATGTAAAGTTAAGCACATGCATACATTTTTTTCAGGTTCAGAGCCAAATCATCAAATGTCTATTTTACAATCTGAAGCCTAACACAAAGGGGGCTTTTACAGCATAGTGGTGACGGCCAAAGAGAACCATGAACCAGGCAGACCCAGGGATGAAGAACCAGATACTGCAATGCCTGGTATCAGAGGGGTAGCCGTGTTGGTCTGGATCTGTAAAAGCGGCAAAGAGTCCTGTGGCACCTTATAGACTAACAGACGTATTGGAGCATAAGCTTTCGTGGGTGAATACCCACTTCGTCAGATGCATGTAGTGAAATGCCTGGTGTTTCGTGATCTGCTTGTGATGAACCGGGATGTAGATGCTATAGGGGAGATGGCAGATTAACAAACTGGTCAGGAGGAGGAATCATCTGATAAGGAGCCATCTACACCAGTTATGCAGCTTCTTATTGTTACAAGTATTGATGGGGACTGATTTTGCAGGCTTATGGCCAGGAAAGCTATTTCAATAACCCTAATTGATACTTTTTTATAGATTCAAAGGAGGTGAAAGTGTTCACCATGGCTCCTCCTTTCACTCCTTTCCCTTTTCTGCAGCCTAAGTGGCAGCTGTCAAGTCCTTATGTCACTCACCCCCAGTGGTGAGCTGGAGCCAGTTTGCACCGGTTCACTAGAACCAGTTGTTAAATTTAGAAGGGAGGGACCTGGTTCTAAAAGGGCTTCTAAATTTAACTGGCCAAAAGTGGCGCCTTAAGCACCGACTCCATGGGTGCTCCAGCCCTGGAGTACCCAAAGGGAAAATTTGGTGGGTGCAGAGCACCCACCAGCAGCTCCCCCCCTCGCACCTAGCCCCAGCTCACCTCTTCTCCGCTTCCTCCCCTGAAGGCGCTGCCCCGCTCTCTGCTCCCCCGCCCCCGCCCCCCCCCGGCTTCCTGCAAATCAGCTGTTCGTGCAGGAAGCTGGGGCAGGCTGAGAAGCAGGCCGCGGCTTCCCACTCAGGCCCAAGGAGACGGAGGTGAGCCAGGGCGCAAAAAGGGCCACCCACACCGCAGAAGGTAACCCGGGGGGGCAGGGGGGGCACAGGGGAACCGCTCTGCATGCCAGCTCACCTCCGCCACCCTCAGCCTGAGCGGGAAGCCGTGGCCTGCTTCTCAGCCCTCCCAGGCTTCCCGCCGAACAGCTGATTCGCGAAAAAGCTGGGGCGGGTGGGGGCGCGGAGAAGCAGAGTCGGGCAGCGTGTTCAGCGGAGGAGGCGGAGCAGAGGTGAGGTGATCTGGGGCCAGGCGTGGGGTGGGGAGCTGCCAGTGGGTGCTCTGCACCCACCAAATTTTCCCAGTGGCTGCTCAAGCCCCGGAGCACCCAGGGAGTCGGCGCCTAAGGCACCACTTTTGATGTGATCAGTGGGGGAGCGCCCACCCCACCCTGCCCCTAAGAGCCAGAGGGACCTGCCAGATGCTTCCTGGGAGCTGCCCCAGGTAAGCACTTCCGGGACTCGGCCCCCGGCACGTGCCTCTGGCTGTTAGGGGCGGGGCGGGGTGGGCACCCACTACAGTGGCCCACGAGACCCTCCTGCCCGGTTCTGGCAGTCAGAGGACAGGGGAGGGAGGTGGATGGGGCAGGGGTCCGGTGGGGGAGGCATCAAGGAACACGGGGGGCTTGGATGGGGCAGGAGTCCCGGGGAGTGGGGGTGGGCAACGACCCCCTCGTGGGGTGAGGAGGGAACCCGTTAAGATTTTGGCAGCTCATCACTGCTCACCCCATTTGGTTTCCCCATGTGTCCCCAGTGTTGTCATCCCCAGACCTGCAACACAGACCGCTATTCTTGGTTAGGATGAAGTTTCCAGATCAGAGTGCACTGTGAGTGGCTGAGTCACACCACATGGCTGGACTGAAATGGCAGATGAGTGCCAGGGGAGAGGTAACCACAATGTAAAAAGCATCAAATTAAAACAATTGTATTGCAAGGAATTCCAT